GTAGTCTCTGCTCAGCACGATTAGGTCTAAGTCTAGAACTGACGAGTACCTGAATAATAGAAGTGGGTCAGGCCCACGAACAAGTTCTAACTTACTACAATCCAAGCAGAAATTCGATACACATATACATCCTAAGCAATTCAACAATAGCTAATAGTCCGATACATAATTATATCCACACTACAGGACTCTTACTGGACTACGGAGGGGGTCTTAACCTGAATAGAAGGTAACATGCGAAAACGCACCCAAATGTGGGCAAGAGTACCTAGACCTAACAGGGTATACCTCAACCTCTCATATCCAGCTACGCATCCTATTGCATATACGCTCCCTAACCGATGACTCTGAGACTCAAGCTCAAATCGCAGTACCATAATATATATTTAAAATCCGTCCTAACTATAAAAAGTCCAGTTAGTCATTCAGCTTGTGTAGCTTCTTTGACTTAACATAACTCACGAGTAATCCGAGTAGTCATTCAGCGTATGCAGCTTCTTTGACTCAATTATAAGTAGGATTTATTTTAATATCCATTCCCTTATTCCGTGTAGGTAGGATTTAGTATTTTGAAACTAATCCAAACCTAGGCATGCCACCGTCCCATACCGGTGCATGTAATCCAACATCCACAGTTGACAACACAGGTAATAAATGTAATTATCAACTATATAGTATATCCAACAATAATCCAACATCCACAGTTGACAATGCGAGTAACAAAAGTAATTATCAACTATACAGAATATCCAATAATCGACAGTAAATCACTCAATTGTAAACATCAACTGCTTCACATTAAACATGTTAAAACATTGTTATTTAACAAGTCTATTCATCACTACTTCACCCAGTTCCATGATTGTTAATACAGATCATATATATATAACCTTTAAATAAATCCAAGTAAGCATGGCAGATTTGTTTTACAAACTTACATACTTATCCTATACTACTCCACAGTTGTTCAGGAGTAAATAACACAGTTAATGTAAGTGTACACCTTTCATCCATTATAGGTATGTAATTCACTCTATAGTCCTACATGCTTATAGTCCATCACAGAAACATGAACAGAACCAAACTCCATTCCCAAATAAACTGCTACACCTACAGTTGTGTAGTTTAGATCCTAAGTCTCCAAAACAGTTTACTAGTTTGCTTAGAATTTTTATACTGTTCCAAACAACAATACTGATTGGTTGATTATGCATTAACAAGCCCTCTGAAGACCTAAATTAATTTCACTCATTAACCACAATTCCCATTCACAGCTCCTAAACACCTCTGCCATGTCAAAACTCAGTCCAGAACTCGCAAAAAACTCAAAACTGGAATAACACACAATGAGAGCAGGCTCCCAAAAGGTGGAGCCGTCTCCACCCATGCTAGAGCCGGCTCCAACCATGGAAGAGCCGGCTCCTAACCATGTAGAGCCGGCTCCATGGTTCCTTGGAGCCGTCTCCTCTTCCCCCTCTCCTCTGTATGCTTATTTCGTTTCCGTTTGACTACACTACATTCGTCCCTTTCTGTTACAGCTTCTAACACTTTTATTTGTGTTCAGACCTACCCAGAGAAAACCCATCTAACTCCTTTATGCATTGATTAACAGTAATTTAAAAGAACAATTACACAGTTGGACACAAAACAAACAGTTTACAACAAGTTTCAGCACATACTGATATAATGAGTTTTAAACATGCATAGTCAATTAATTCCGTTTAATGATTTCCTGGAACTACTTAGGCATGCAAAGAACACGAGTAAAAGGTAAAGAGATGAGGTTAGAACTTGCCTTTAGCCTTTCCCCGTTGCCCTCCTAACTTCTCCCCTTAGCAGACCTTTCAATACTCTGCTCTCAACCCTCTGTTTTTGTGTTTACAGAACTTAGGTTACGTCTGTAAACTAAGTGCTTTGATCGTAACCCTAGACCTATATTATTATGATGTATTTATAAGCTTTAATCCCTAAAACCTTAATCCTTATAAGATTAGAGACAGAGCCCAACTCGGCCCATAAACCATCCTGTGATATAAACTACGCCCCTATAACGTTTAAACCTAATGTAACTATATATATCAACAATAAACAGACACGTTAAGGCAAAACAATAATGAAATTTAATTAAATAAAGTCAAATAAAACAATTAACTAATTAACTTAAACAATGAATGCAATTAAAATCAATTAAACAAATAATCAAGTAAACCGACACATCATTCAAATAATAATAAGTAATTCAAATAAATCAAATAATCACAATTAGGTCAAATAATTCAAGCAAATTAAGCAATTAGACAATTAACCATTAAAAATTGCATTTAAATAATTAATGAAATTCAAGCAAATTAAGCGATTAGATAATTAACCATTAAAAATTACATTTAAATAATTAATGAAATTCCAGGACTATCCTTTGAGAAATTAGGGGTATTACAGTCCAGGTATAGTCGGATGAATCAGAGAGTCTCATAGTTGGGTTTTGAATAAAAACGGCTTGAACAACTGAGCATAAACCAGCAAAAATGAACTAAGTCAAGATAAGACGGCAGAATGCAAGGAGTAGCGAGGCTGAATTTACAGGTAGCCGCGGGACTGTTCTTATCGGCAAGCATGGAGGACTTGTTCTTATCGGCGAGCATGGACTGTTGACTGCGATAAAGCACTGAGCTTACCAGAACGGCGATAATGAGCAACAATTGTAATAATCGCGACTCCAACGACGGTAGTGAGTTCAACAGCAACCAAAGATTAATCAACGGCGACAAGGATGAACGAAGGCCGGACTGAACTGGTAGTGCATTGTCGACGAAGCATAGGTGGTGATGATTTGTAATTTGGTTCGGGGAATTTTTTTTTTTCTCGCTGTATCACGGTCTGTTATGCTCTGATCTCTATGGAGGTTTATAAGATATACTATCTTAAGGAGTTGAAGAAGATGGTCTCATATTTTTATTTTTAGGGAAAAGTGCAAACAACTCCCCTGAACTATCACAAATCAACATTTTACCCCATGGACTACAAAAATGAACAAATCAATACCACAACTATCCAAATTTGTGCAAGTTAACCCCTGAAGGTCAATTTCGGCCACTTTCCGGTTGACTTCATTGTAAATTTACAAAACTACCCATTGTAATTAAGAAGAAAAAAAATGCGAAAATAAATAATCAGCGTGAATCCGACGAAGAACGATGATGGCGACTGCGAGACTGAATTGGCGGCAAGGACTGAATCGGTGATGTGTAATTTCAAGTAAGGATTCCTGGTACGGCCGGCTGGTGCAGCGATGACGATGGCGGCATAGGCCGGCGATGGGTCGTGGACAGGTCCGTTGTGACCTTGCGGCGCGACACCGGTGGGCAAGGAGAACTCGGTTGTGAGCTTCTCGGTGGTGAGTTCGACTGTAATAAACTCGCGGCGTGGCACCGACGGACAAGAATTGGCCGGCTGGTTCACCAGCACCCATAGCCGTGATTAAATTTGGCAGAAACACGGCAGCGAGGTAGAGCAGCGGAATCGGTCTCAATCGGATTGGTATTAACAGTCAAGATGGTGCGAAACTCGTCTACGAGTCGAGCCATGGCGATCTGGATCGCCGTGTTGGCTTTGTTTTGGTCGTTAGCGATCGTTGTCGACTCCATAAAGCGCTGAATCTCGTCGATGGCCTGCAAGTAGCGATCAATCTCGTGGCGGTCATCGTTGAAGATCATGCATTCTCTGGCGTCCTCCGACGCTGTAGAGTCCCACCGGAGGATGATCTTCTCGGCCGATTCAAACGCAACAGCGAGGTTATCTGGCGATTCCATAACCGAAAAATATAGGGATTCAATTAATGACAGCTTTGAAAATTCAGAATCTAGAAAGGGAAAAGTGATTTTTATTTTCCTGTTTTTTTCTTTATCTAGTATCTCTCTCTCTCTCTCTGAGATAATAAGTAGTAATTGTTGTGCTTTGTGACGGTGGGCCTTTGACTTGTTAGAATTATGGTTTTTCTGAATTGAGAGACGTATGAAAATTAAACAAACCAAATTTGACCACAGGACCACTGTATCATCAAAGTCTACTCCTATCTTTTACTATGAGCATAGTGATCATCTTCCGGGTTCGCCGGCGACCATGGCTGTGATTAAATTTGGTAGAAACACGGCGGCAAGGTGGAGCAACGGAATCGATAATGGAATGAACTGATAAGTGAGGAACATGATGATGAAATTTCCATTGAAATATGGGTTTGTAATTGTTTGAGTCTGTAGTGATAATTCATGAACAACCCACAACATCTCTATCACTCTAAATCTATATCTCCCTCTATAACCATCCATTTTTCTTTGCCTTTTCTTTCATTTTTCTTTTTGATTGCTATTTGTTATTACCTTATGTAAGTCTCCCTTTTGATTTGTTCTATTATATGGAGTAATTGGGTTCTTCATTTGCTTTTTCTTTCTTGCATTCCTTGATTGAACCAACACTTGTCATCAAAGGCTTAAGGCGACAAAGGTAATAACAAATAAATAATAGTATTAACGAGTATTTTAGGGCAATTTTGGAATTAAAAGAAAAGGACCGCACTTACGGGCCGGAAAGTGGCCGGAATTGAGCTTCAATTAACTTGCACGGATTTGGATAGTTATGATACTGATTTGTTCATTTTTGTAATCCAAGGAGGTAAAATGCCGATTTGTGATAATTTGATGGGATTGTTTGCACTTTTACCTTATTTTTATTTTTATTTTTATTATTTTTAATTCTGGTGAGTTGATTTGGTACTTTTTTTAGTCATTTCATAATTTTTTATTTTATTTTATTTTTTTATTATAAAATGTGACAATAAAGGCATTTTAGTTCAATTTTATATTAAATGTTTAAAGAGAATCTATTTGTACAAATGCCATAGTTTATGATTGTTTTTTTAATTCGTGAGGGATACAATATGCAATATAAACATATTGTTAGTGTGATTTTTGCACTTCACATATTACTCGAATAATACTGAAGAATCAAAATTCGTTACATTTCATGTGATGGAATAATAGTCGTCGATTTGTTTTTAAGATTGATCGTCAATCATTGTACAAATGCCAGAAAACGTTGACTCAACCCCGTCAACTTGGAACAATTTTCTCTCCTCTTCAATGAAACCCCACCGTTAATGGCGGCTCATTTTCTACTTCCATCAAATTCTTCAACCCAGAAGAATTCTTCAACCCAGAAGACCACCCAATTCATCACTACCAACACTCCACAACCATCCTCCTACTCCTCTCTCTCTCTCTAGACTATACCCACTTTCTCTCTCTAGATTATACCCACTTTCTCTCTCTAAATCTAATTCCTCATGGACGGAACTCTCCAGGCCGTTCTGGCAGCTGCAGCTAGCTTCTTCCTCATCATGTCAATCTTCGCCGTCCTCTTCCTCCTCTGCAAAGGAGGCAAACGCCGAGACCCAGAGGCCGGACACGGAGTCCGGACCCGAGCCGTGTCGGATCCTGATTCGATCGGAGAGAGCGCGTCGTTCGACCCAGCCTTGAACCGGATCTCCATGGCGGAGCTCCGCCGTGCCACCCGAGACTTCTCCCCGGACCTCATCGTCGGCGACGGCAGCTTCGGCCTCGTTTACAAGGCTTGTCTCTCCAGTGGCGTCACCGTCGCCGTCAAGAAACTGGCCGCCGATGCCTTCCAAGGGTTCCGAGAGTTTCGGGCCGAGATGGAAACCCTAGGGAAAGTCCGACACCAGAATGTTGTGAAGATTCTCGGGTACTACGCGAGAGGTCCGGATCGGATCTTAATTTACGAGTTCATCCAGGAGGGAAGTCTCGACCAATGGCTACATGACATGTCAGCGCCAGTACCAGGATCAGAAGGTGACGTGTCAATGTCAAACCCAAGATTACCGTTATCTTGGGATGTGAGAGTTAAGATTATTAGAGGTGTAGCAAATGGTCTGTCACATATGCATAATTTGGTGACACCAATTATTCATAGAGATATCAAGTCTAGTAACGTGCTATTAGACTCGGAATTCGAGGCACATATAGCGGATTTTGGGTTAGCTCGATTAATCGAGGGATCACATTCACATGTGTCGACTCAGGTGGCCGGAACAATGGGGTACATGCCTCCCGAGTACATAAACGGGTTCACGATGGCGACAATGATAGGAGACATATATAGTTTTGGAGTACTAATGTTAGAAATCGGGACGGGAAGACGTCCCAATTGGCCGATCATGGAGGCCGGAAAGGAAATTAGGTTAGTGGAATGGGCCAGGAAAATGGTGGTGCTAAAGCGGCAAATGGAAATATTGGACGCTAACATTCCAAGGGATGGGCTAATCGAAGGCAATGTGGTGGAATTTTTTAGGGTTGCTTGTTTGTGCACTAGTGACAGCGGCAAGTTTAGGCCTGCCATGAAAGAGGTGGTCGAGTTGTTGAATCGAATTTCGACATGAAATCAAAATGTGTCACATTTGGTGTGACAAGAGGGAAATTATTGCCGCATTCACTTTGTTCATGGTCTTAATCAAGTGAGATCATGATTGTAATTGACAGAAGTGAATTGTGTAATTAGATTTTGGTTGAACATGGTCGTTGATCATACCACTTCTATCATATAATATAAGGTATGCCATGTAGTTGTTTCTTTTGCGTATAGTGCTATATATATATAGCTCCCACAAATCCTTCTTGTTTTAGGCCAAAAGTTGATTTAATTTTCAATACAATATGAAGTATGTGATGGACCTGTCCTGGTGGCTTTTGTCTTTGTCTTTTATTTGCTCACCACTTGTGAAATGACAAAGAAATGATTGATTAACAAATTGATTAATTATTAGTAGTAAAACTTAGAAGTGCTTAGTATTTTACATTAACTAATAATTCATATATTGGTTTTATGTGGTAGGTGATACATACATGAAACAATGTTTTAATTAGTATGGAATTTAAAATTTTTAATGAATGTTTCCAGGTTTGATCTTTGCTAAACTTGTTGAATGTTTCTTGGAATGGTTCTAGGAAAGGAAATTCTATTTTTTTTTGGTGGTCTTAATCAAATATGATCAAGAGCTTGTGAAATAGTGTTAAAACACATGTTTATTAAACATTCAAACACTATATTAACATTCTAACATAATACATTGACACATCATTTATGGTTTTGGGAAGTTCCGAGTGCATGGTTTGAAAAGTTAGAGGTGTTTTTAAACCATCATTTTGAATTGGAATAAAGAGAGTATTTGAGTGATGGATTGTACACTCTCATTTTATTTGTATGGTTTCTTTTAAGAGGTTACATACCTAACAAGTGACAGAGTTGTGTTGTCTCCATCAAATATGCGCATAAAGACTTGTATAGGCATGAACGTCTCGAGATTTTCCTAATTTGGTCTTAGCGAATTGATTTCTTGAGTATGATATTTCTTACAAATAGTTCATGTAGTTAATTTACAAAGGTAAATTGCAATACTATGATTATTTAGTTTTAAAGTCGTGATACAGTCTTAAAGTTAAATGTGTCGGACTACATTTATTTGAGTCGAAGTTGTTGTCATTGTCATGATGACCTCGGTTTAGTCCGATTGTCGTACTACATATCATTTTATTTAGTTCATTATGGATTATCATTATGGATTAAATTGTCTTTAGCTTCAATATTTTTTAGGTGTTCAACTATTGATTAGCTGTTGATTAGGCAAACTTAGATTCAAATGTTACTACAAGACAATGACTTGGTCTTGAACTCAAATTACTTGAAGAGTTATATATGTATATTAATGACTAATCATATATGTATATTAATGACTAATCTACACATCAGCTCCAATTGATAGAAGCTTTCAAGCTATTTCCTTCAATTCTCTCTTTCTTTTGAGTTAATTCATTTGTCTTAAAAGAAAATTGGAATATAACAAATTGAAGCCCCAAAACTTTTCATTTCAGATTTTTTTTTTTTTTAATTAAACTTCAATTAATTCATGTTCTTAAATTTTTGTCCTTCAATATTGAATTATTTCACTCCATGTTGTCTGTAGTAATTGTTAACCAACAATTAGGGCTCGTTTGGCATATGTTTTGTTTTAGGCGTTTTGTTTTTAGCTAAAACAGAAACAGTATTTTTGCTGTAGGAGTGTTTTGGAAAAAAATCGGAAATACGCTTGAGAATGATGTTTTGCTGTAGAAATGTCAGAAACAGAAACATGCACAGTTATGATTTTGGGTCATGAACAGTTGTCAAAATAAGAAAAAAACATCTTTTTGGTATTTTGGTTTTGGGCCACTGTTCACGAAGTGTTTTAGCACTGGGTAAAATAAAACAAAGTCACACCAAACATGTTTTTGTTGTCAAAATCAATACTGTAGCAGTCCAAAAATAAAAACAAGGCTTACGAATTAGGCAGTGTTATAACCAAAAGTAAGTACTAGTTCTCTTTGATAGTTTCTCTTTTGGCAACAAAGACGCTCAATCTCTTTGTTAGGCAGCGTTATAACCAAAAGTAAGTACTAGTTCTTTTTGATAGTTTCTCTTTTGGCAACAAAGGCGCTCAATCTCTTTATTGCCAAAAGAGAAAATTGTAATACTTCGGCGTTAATGTGTGTAGTGTTTGTAATGTAACTTATGATTTCATCATGCACTGGTAGGCTGGGCCTGCCAAATTCCTCTTGGGCTTTTATACAATGGAGAGTACATTTTCATATAGATAGATACAGGCTGAAGCCCAACATAAACTAGAAGTCTTGCCCGAATCAAAATCCTATCCAGTATATTTTCTATGTGGTTTTTAACTTAGCAACCTTAATTTAATAACAAGAAAATAATAATAATAATAATTTAGGGCATGTTTGGTTTAGTTTTTTAGAATAATTTTTTGTTTTTTAAAAATTTAAAAATTATAAAAAAAATTTGTTTGGTCGACATTTTTTTAGAATTGTTCTAAAAAAACCTAATTAAAGAATTTTGTTTTTAAAGAACTATTATTATTATTATTATTATTTTAGTTTTCTGAAGACAGTTTTATATTTTTTGAGTTCTTGAGATGACAAACCAAATAACTCCTTAATATTTTTTATATAAAAGGAATGAATTATATTCTAAACAATTTTTCAAAGGATGGATGTTGATTAAGAGATGTTTTTGCAACATTTCAATAATATATATATATATATATATATACACAGACACACACATAGATAGAGAGGAGAAAGATGTGGCTTTTCATCTTTATGTAGATAATTTTAAATCCTTCTTTTTCGGTAAGTAGTTAAATGGACTTGCTAAATTCTAAGTAATTACAAATTTTCTTGAATTATAATGTCACGTTTCAAAGTAGGGAGATGGTGAGAGTTTAAGTTTTAAAATGAGCAAAGTGAGTATGTGAGTGACATGTGTATGAATTTCTAGCTAATGTCAAAAAAAAAAATAAAATAAAAAATAAAATAAAAAAATAAATTGTTGTTACATGTTGCCCACCACAATCGGACTACTACAGTAGTAATGTGTCACGTGCTTGGATCAAAAGCCTTTTTTGTTTTTTTGCCTTTCTTTGAAGTACACTTAAGTCTCACCATCATGGCATCATGTACCTATTTCAATATATATATATATAATTTTTTTTTGTCCGGTACTTTCAAATGGAGTCTCTCCATCCTAAAATTTCTGTTTATCTTCTCATTTTAGGAAGTTTCAAAATACATCTCTCATTTTTAAAATGATTGAACTGTTTTTTATAACATTTCTAAATTATCATATTGTATTGATATTGACTTGATTAAATAATTGCAATTACTCATTTACCTTTATACAAGAATAGATTTAAAAATTTATTTTTATCAATACAATAAAAAAATATTAGAAACTCAATTTTGGGGTCGAGGGAGTACAATTTATAGGTTTCGAGTCCTTTGGCTCCGTTTGTTTGAGCGTAAAATATTTTTTAAAAATAGTTTCTGTAATTTTTGGTGTTTGGTTATCATAAAATATTTACGAAAAAAAAAATATTTTAAAATCTTATAAAAATAACTTATTTATTAATTTTTGACAAGTTATTTTATACGTTCCACCCAATGGACTTGATTTAGACCTAGACCTTTGTCAATTATCAAAAAAAAAAAAAAAAATTTACCTAAAAAAATATATATATTTTTTAAAGAAATTAGTTTACATCGAAACAAAAGAGTGTCAAAAAGAATAGAATAGTGGGACAGATTACATGCCTGTCAACATTGCTCTATTTTATATTTATTTATTATTATTATAAAAAAAACATCAAGTCACTAAGGTCAGCTAGATATCAATATAAATTTCACTAGTTATTTTACTTTTTGTTTTTAAAGTGTTTTTATTTATTTTGTTCTCACCAAAAAATTCACCTACATATTAACTCCAATGACTTGAACCTTTATCATTATTGACCTTTGGGAATAAAAGAGTTCAACAAGTTAGATTACATTCCAAGGTGGTTCAAAGTTTTCTTTCATTTGAGGTGTTTATTTTTTCAAGAGTGGGATGATGAAAAATAACACAAACTAATAGATTTAAATCAAGGGATAGAATGCCAAAAAACATGCGACATATCGAATACAAAGATTTACATGATTCAGTGCATAGTGTATGCCTATTAGGGGTGGTAATTTGTGTTCGTGAGTCATAATAGTATCGTATCGATGTAAAAATATTTTATGAAATAGGTAAATCTAAACTTGACTTATTTAATAATCGTGTCTAAAACATTTAACACTAACCTGACTTATTTATTAAATGGGTTAACGTTGACGTGTTAACCCATTTAATGACCCATTTATCAAAACGAGAAATTTAATATTCAATCAAATAATAAATAATAAAAAAATTTGTCACAATTAACCCAAATAATCAAAATAAGAAGAAAAATTATAAGGCGTAATCAATGTTTATGTTAAAATGACTTAACTGTTCATAGTAATTGAGTTTAAAAAGGTAACATATTATATAGGTTATATTTATGATTATGACATGTTAAGTTAAACGGATTACACTGGTTGAACCACCTCAACCCTAATCCGATATTGTTAAGTAAACGGGTTAGACACTGTTAAATAAACGGGTTAACACGATCAATCCGTTTATTATTCGAACCCGTTTAAAGTCAACCCAAGTCTACTTATCTCGAGACATGTTGATGAATCGTAATTTGCTACCTCTAATGCCTTACTAAAAATTTCGTGAAAGACTTCACTATGAAAAAAAAAAAAAAAAAAAGAGACTACGTGTTTAAGGTGTAAAAGTTTACTTTATTTTATTTTTTTCTTTTACCAGTATTTTAAAAAACACAGATTTCAGAGTACATTTAAGTCCATAACTAGATACAATTTGTTTGCGAAATACAGATTCAATTTTGTAAATATCAGCCGAATAGGTCATACCAAAAGACACTTTGGGGCGGCTTGAAAATTGATTGCCCACGCGATGAATCATAAGAGTGAAGGTGTAGAGTCCGTAGACCGTAAAAAAAAGAGTCATTATTTTTCAACGAAAAAGAAAAAAAGTCATTCTATAATTATTATTAGTCTCGTGTCAGAAATTAATTACTCTAAAAAAAAAAAAATCTCCAATGTCACGTCAATCACGTGACATAGATCTGTTTCAAAAAAATAAAATAATTTTAAAATTATAGAATTAATTATGCAATTACAAAAGATCTCACAAGAATAAAATATTTTTAAGAGTGGATATATATATATATATATATATAGGAAAAAACAAAGAGGAAAAAGAAAAAAAAAGGGTAGAATATTTTTCAGAAGAGAAAAATTAGGATTTCTGGTAAAGAAAAAGAAGAGAGAGAGAGGGGTAAAGAAAAAGAAGAGAGAGAGATTGAGTACATGAAAGAAAAGGAAAGTAAAGTAATGCAAAGTCACGTGATTATTGATAAACGCCATGACTTGTTAATTATGATTCACATGACATTAAGAAAGTAATCCAGTATTTTTCGATTGCCGATAAAATGCCATGATGATTCATGATCATTAAAATTTAAATATCTCTTTTTAGTTTAAATGTGTCATACCTAAGTAACATGGGAGTGAGAGTGAATTCGAGAGCGGAAGTATGAGAGTGATAGAATTAAGTCGTTATGAGAATTTGGGCGACAACGCACGCGAAACATGAGAACGACATCGTGGACGTTCATTCTTAACAAGTGTTTGGTAGAGAGGTGTAACCTAAGTTACATAATCATTTTTAACAAGTGTCGCTTTTACGCTTTGAGTACGATGTCGCTCTCACGTTTCGGCAAAAAAAAAAAAAAAAAAAAAAAAAATCTCACTAAAATTCTCCAATGTCCCATATAGGATCGACACTAAAAAGCGTAAGTTCATTTCACCAGGCTCTGAACTTCTATTGAATTTATATATCATAAGATCAATGTGATTAGCTTATAAATTCCCAAAAGTCATTGAATCAATAAAAATGAAGTTGAACAATTACATATTTTCTCATTTCAATTCTGGGTGGGTATCTTATCGGTGTGTGGCAGGGGCACTATCTTGACAACTCTCACTGCAAAAATGCCAGGTTTGTACTTACTTTGATGACAATTGACAACACATTGTTTGGGTGGTGGTTGGACACTGGTTTATTTCTTCAATGGAATGAATATGATTCCATTTGGATATGGTTTGGTCAAAAGTTGAGCAATCTTTTTTTTGGAATGAAGAGCGACATGAATATGAAAGATTAAACTAGCTTATTTACCTTCTAATTCTTGATGGCAAACTTCTAGTAATTGTTAACAAAACTAGCAAATAACACAAGATGTTGAAATGGTGATTCTACTTTTTAAAAATATTTGACAATTTTAATGGGAATCAATTATAACTTGTCCTCGTCATAGTTAATGCATTAATATGCAGCACCTCACTTTTACTCTTTATTCTTTATATTCGTGATTCACCTTTAGATTTAGATGAATATATATATATTTTTAACTTGTAAGGTTTTAGTTTATGTGACACTTATTTGAAAATGGATTGACAAAACCTGATATCACACCGGATCATCAAATTTTGACGGTCTAACCCTCAAGTTATTATATCAAATTCTAGCATTGCATCATGTCATTAAATCTCGAGAGTCTAACCCTTAAGTAATCAAATGTATCTCATCAATTTGTCAAACTTCAAAGGTCTAATCCTCGAGTCACCAAATCTCGAAGGTTTAACTATCGAGTCATCAAACCTTGACATCGTACTAGGTCAACCAATATCGAGGGTCTAACCTTTGACTCATCAAACCCTGGTATCACACCAGGTCACCAAGTATCGAAGGTCTAATCCTCGAGTCATTAAACCCTAGCATCACACCATGTCACCAAACATTAAGGATCTAACCATCGAGTCATTAACCCTTGCCATTACATTAGGTCAGCAAATCTCGAGAGTCTAACTCTCGAGTCATCAAACCTTGACATCACATCAGGTCCTCAAGCCTCGTTCTAACCTCGAGTCACCAAACCTTGAGGGTCTAACCCTCTAGTCATCTAACCTTGGCATTGCAGAAGGTTCTCATACCTCGAAGGTTTAATCCTAAAGTCACCAAACCTCGAACGCTTGAGACCTCCTCGTTAGGATACTTTTAAGGATCTTGGATTGGTGGATGAAAAGTAAGAGGATATCCCGCGAAGACAAAAGGGGCCTGGTCAGTAAGAGAGGGTGGATATATGTTGTGACATAGAGCATTACCATCATTTTAATGCTCTAACAAAGTCATTATCAGTCTTGCTACCGCCGGTCATATAATGACAAAATGCATTTAATGCTCCAGACAAAAAATCCCCTGCACATTACATGGCTTGATAAGAGGAAGTGACCTTTTAGGTGCCTAAGAGCATCATGCCTATGTGTGTAAATACAGTGCAAAGTAGGAGGCTTGATAAAAATCGTTGGGTAATACCCAGGAGGTCATAGCCAACTATTCTTATCAAGCCAAAGTATGAGTCATAGGGCTATAAATATTATCCTTAGAAGAAACATTAAGGGCAACAAGCTGGAGAATGTCACAGTTACAACAAACGTCCCTACCTCCACCAACATTCTCATTGATCAGTCTGCTTTTCCCCCTTATCTAGCTCATATCTCTATGTCCTTCATTTTGTGTTTTAGATATCACCATTATATATATATTTTATTGCATTACGAAAAGAACCCTATAAAGTTCAAGTACGGGAATCATTTTATCAGAACTCAGTCAAGCTCGATATTATTTTTTCCCTTCTCATTCGGTGAAGGGGTAATGTATTGTCTTGTAGAAATGCAAATTTTGATCCAAATATTTTTCCTTATCCGTCAATTGATTGAAAACAACTTTAAAAAATGCAATTAATTGTTTGTGTATACATGTGTGCAATTGACCAAGTGAAAATACATACATGTTAAGGTGATAGGTTTTTTTGAGCATTACAATATATCGTTTTGCAAATCTCCATATTAGGTGCACAAATAAATGTTATGATTGTATTACTAAATAAATTTCATCATCATTATTCTTGCCTTAATCTAATATGAAAGAAAAATAAACTTGATTATACTAATGAATAATTATAAAGTTTGCAGTAAATGAACCTACTTGAACTAAGCTCCAAGGGAAAGGAAGAAAAATTATTTTCCCCACAACCAAGTAAGGAGTAACTCTTTCAACCTATTGACCTATGATATAGAGTTGCAAAAATAAACTTGAGTATTTATAATCACTCACAAATCTTATGTGAGAGTCAAATTTAAGACGTATATTCTAATTTATAATTTGCTTAAATTAATCTAATCGTTTCCATCTTTTTAACGAAAAATGTTTCGGTATTGTTCTCTTATAAAAGTTGTGGAAAACGAAAATTTATTTGAACTCAATGGCATTCAACTACAACAAAATTTCAAACTAAGAAAATAGTTGAAGAAACTATGACCCAACTTTGTCAAATACTATCTTTTGATTTGAAAAATAAGAAAAAAATTTGAGAAATTATTTGAACTCAAAGGCATCTATAACAAAATTTCCAAGGAAGAAAATAGTTGAAGGAACTATTGCTCAACTTTGTCAAATCCTCTCTTTCGCTTTGAAGGGGTAAAATTGTCCTTCAATGTTAAAACTAAAAGATTTAAAAACTTTTCAATTCTCTCTGTCGATTTAAAAAAGGGGGTAAAATTGTTCATTTAATGGTAAAACTAAAAGCTTTAAAGTGATGTAGTACCATCAAACACATGTCGTCCTATTGTGGTCCCATTTGTGGGATCCCAAAATAGGAAATCCATTTGAAGGAAAGTGCCGTGGTGGAGGTGTGATTACTACATCACATGGCCCATTGGATATTCTCATAAATATACAGACTTATAGTAAATAAATATATTCATGAGGGATTCCCTTGATGACTTTATCTGCTTATAAATTAAGCCTCCTACTGTGTTGTCTTGGACAAAACACATAGAAAAATCTAACTCCATGACTTCTCTAACTTCTCAGCTTCTGCTTTTCTCTTCACTTTTAGTGTCCTGTTGCTTTTTTACTACTTCAGAGGCTCAATCCTCTGCACCTATAGTGAAGGGACTTTCATGGACTTTCTATGAATCTTCATGTCCCAAGTTTGAATCCATCATCAGAAAACAGCTCAAGAAGGTCTTCAAGAAAGACATTGGCCAAGCTGCTGGCTTGCTTCGCCTCCATTTCCATGACTGCTTTGTACAGGTATGTGTGTGTGTGTGTGTAGTGATGTTTGTTTAGTTACATCATGGCTCAATCTTTTGGCCTACTGGGATTTGGGACATTATGAACACTACCCACATTATGAAATGTCTAGATTTTCATTACCCATTGAAGAATGATTATATATGTGTTCTTATGCACCATTTCCACTTCCATAGCCTCCTCTCTCTCCCTATGTTAACTGTACTCGGACAGAGTATCTATCCATGCATAGGGTCAGATCTACCTATCCATGGGTCAGATCTCTGAATAGAAAGACATGTGTACTTTAAATATTATTTTATTTTATTTTTATTTAGAGTAAAGAAATATTTTTATCTAATATAATGTTTAATTTAGGTATTTAAATCATTTTAAATTAATAATATAATATAATTAAATGATTAGATATGATTTTTTAACTACATATCCATCCAAAAATGTTAGACTGATATCCTATAGCAACATGTGTCTGGTTACTTTACTAATTTTGAAGAATCCATGTAACATAACTCCTCCGTTAAGCTAGTCTAAAACTCCATTTGATTCATGTCACAAGTGTTAATAAATGACTCAATGGTTTGCTAATGATGTTGAAAGATTTAAATATTAAAGTTATAGCCTCTCTAACGGGTAGGGATGGCAATTTGTTCCGCCCTACTCCGTTTTTAGCGATTTTGGGAAATCGTTTAGCTTATTTGAGCGGGAATAGTTTGATGTATTGAAAACTCGTGCGGATTCGATGTGGGGGCAGGGGGAGGTCGCCCCGCCTCGTTTAGATAGGTAAATTACTTAAGTACATTTATTTCATTAGTATATATATTTCGCATTATTACCCTTATTTCATTAGTATAAATATTGAGACAGTTTGTTTTGCAACAAAATCTGAAAATCTAAAACAAGTAGCTTACGCTACCATTTAGAATGTTTTTAATGTTCAATTTTATGTTAAACTATTTATTATTTATTTTTTTTAATGAATCTTTTCAATAATTATATAATTTTAGTTGAGAAAAAAAATTAAATAGAGAAGAATTTCTGGTCTTAAACGGGATAGGGCATGTACCCGTGGGGGTAAAAGATGTTAAACAGGGGGGGAGGGGCGGGTACCCATGGGGGTAAATATGTTAAATGGGGCGGGGATGGGGTGAAAAGTTCTCCCCTTTTTGCGGTTTTGGGCAGGGACGGTGGGGTTTTAAAAGTTTGTGGGGACGGGGGTGGGGTTTTGAACTGTTGCAGCGGCGGAGGAGGATATACTCACCCAAACCCTCCCCTGTTGCTATCCCTGCTAACAGGTTAAACCTTTTAAGGTAGAGGTGGTTAACATGATGTTAAAGTAAGCAAAATCCCGCCTTATGATTAAAATTGAAACATGTGTAGGACCAAAAGAAGCCCACACTCTCACTTTGTTGAGTAGATATTGGATTCGCCAGGCGCGCCATGTCATTAGTATATCCATCCAATAATAATGCACTATTTCAAAAAAAAATTGGCCCACTTACTTATAAAATTGCTAATATCTATTCCCCTTTGTTATCCTGTATTGTTGGATAGGTTAGTAGTATCTCATCCCTTCAATCAAGGGATTTCAAAGGAAAGGGACAAAGGGCTATTGTTATACATAAACCATCATGCTAGAGATAGTGACAGGAACAGAGGAGTGATTTAAAAAAAATTTAAATAAGTTTGAGCAAACTTGAAATGTCACTGTTCTAATGCATTCTCTATTTCAAGAGTCTGTGGTACTTATTCCTCTGAATTCACTTCATCTCTCTTTGTTTGATGATTCAGGGATGTGATGGTTCAGTGTTGCTTGATGGCTCGGCCAGTGGGCCGACTGAGCAGGACGCCCCTCCAAACCTTAGTTTGAGGGCAGAGGCATTCAAAATCATTGATGACCTCCGTGCCCGTGTTCACAAGCAGTGTGGTCGTGTTGTCTCGTGCTCTGATATCACCGCCATTGCTGCCCGTGATGCTGTGTTCTTGGTAAAGCTAAAAATTTCACTTATCCTCTAATTTATGTCCATAAATAGAGTCAGCCACCAAGTCAGAAATCAATCGTCCCTCTCAGCTTAACAGTAGCTATGCCCCTAAATAATGGGCATCAGTGTGATCAGTGGTCCAAGAAATTAAACCATATTAAAGAGCATAAAGAGTACTTTCAAGAGGATTAGAGTTTGCAATATATTTTAGAGCAAGTCTCCTCTTAAATACTTTCCAAAATGACTCTGAAGATGCAAGAAACCTCTTTTCGTATTAGGAAAGTCATTTCTTACCCTCCAAATAATCCGTCTCTTTCTCTCTCTATCACTTTTATTTATAGAAGTACACATTTGCCCTACAACTTTTCTCTTAGACTCTCAGGCCTGAGCCCTCTTGAGTTGGGTCTCCTCTTGAAGTTATAACAGGTGGGAGGCTCGTTTATTACGAACGAGATTGGGTCTGGAGATGTTTCTATGGTGCTCTGGGCCTGATGAATCCTTCCGTGTTTGGCTCAATGGCCCAATAACGTTCTGGACTGGGTGGACTGACCCAAAGGTGGCCCGGTTCACTTTCTGCTCTTTCAGACTCTAACCTAGCTTTCTATGTATATATACTCATTGAATGTCCTACCAATGGAGATAGACCTAACATTTGGTAATATTTTGCATTCTGAGACTCAACTTGTATTCTCACACTCCAAATTTTTATGACATCTTCAAATTCCATTGCAATATATGAAAATACTATGAATTGATCTCCTTTGAACGTCCAAACGAACTACAATTGTTCAAATGTTATAGATGATACTAACAATTGATTTTTTTTTTTTTGACAAGAAACATATTCACACACGGAGTAACAATTATTCATTTGTTGACATTGCAGTCAGGTGGCCCTGACTATGATATCCCCTTGGGAAGAAGGGATGGACTTAGCTTCGCGACAAGAAACGCGACAGTGAAAAACCTTCCTGCACCAACAGCCAACACCAGTTTCCTCCTGACCGACCTCGCCACCAAAAAGTTCGATGCCACTGACGTTGTAGCCCTCTCCGGTGGCCACACCATCGGATTAAGCAATTGCACTTCTTTCACCTTTAGGCTTTACCCACAAGACCCCATCATGGACAAGACCTTTGCCAAAAAGCTCAAAGTCATTTGTCCCACAAAAAATACCATCAACACCACTGTGCTGGACATTAGAACTCCAAACAAATTCGACAACAAGTACTACGTTGACCTAATGAACCGGCAAGGCCTCTTCACCTCGGACCAGGATTTGTACACTGATAAAAGGACTCGGCACATTGTTAAGAGCTTCGCCGTTAATAAGACTCTCTTCTTCGAGAAGTTTGTGTCTGGTATGATCAAAATGGGGCAGCTAAGTGTGGTGACCGGCACAAGAGGGGAAATTCGCGCGAATTGCTCACTGAGGAATTCGGATAATTGGTACCTGTCATCTGTGGTGGAAGAAAAAGAAGAGACCTTATCAGAGTTTTGAGAGTAGAGTAAGGTTCATGTGTACTTATTTATGTGCTTTCTTTTCCCTTGTTTGTTTAGTATGAAAACTGCTAGAAAATGTTGTTGTTGGCTTTTCTGTGATGAGTTTAGCTTAGTAATAAAGTGTTTGAGCTGTTTAATTGAGGTGTTTAGCATTTCAGTTGATCATTTTGTTAGAACATACACATTAGGAATAAAATATGAACATATATGAGGTTATGACCATAAATTTTGATTGTCTCTAACACAAATTCAGAATTGAAAAGTATAAATTACATATCCATATGAATACATTGCTCTGTACAGTCTAATCAACGTACTGATCTATATAAATAAATATATATTATATATAGATAAAGATTTATATAAATAGACCTATGGTGTTACATTAACCTTGTACTAGTGATTTGTTTTATTAAATGTTTTCCTCTTTAGGGTAAAAAAGGAACTTAATTGAAAAAAAACTGTAATATCATGAAACATTCACTTAGAGTGAAAAACTGACATATAAAACATAGTGAAAATATTATGAGAATGTAAAATGTTATACACTTGTAAAAAATTACAACATATAGGTTGATAATATCTAGTGCATAAAAAAGAAAGGAGAAAAGAGAATCAAGTAGGAGGTCATCATTTTGCATGGTGAAGAACTTTAGTTTCTTTAGCATGATTGAATGACAATGTTGGTGGTGGGCATTAGACTTTAAAGAGTTTTAGATATTTAGCCCCCACTCATGCCTGTCATGATCTCCTTGATCAAGTGAGGCCCCTCCTACATCTTTTGATGAACATATGTGATTTCGTACGCTGAACTATCCAGACTGTTATTGTTATAATTTTCATTCGTTAGATGATGTGTATCATACTGCAACTAATGACAATGTCAACCAAAGGCTTGATGCCTCCGTCAATCTTTTTTATTTTATTTTGTCTACTCATATTTATTAAGTATTTTAAAATTACTAACGTAACAGAAGTTATTAAATCGTTCACAAGAAACAAGTGGTAGAATCCACAAAGTTGAAAAAATTCACAAAAATTTCTGATATTTTATTGATAATTGAATGTGTGATCTATTCTGCAGTACATACATTTATAAAGTATAAGAAATATGCTCAAAATCAAACTTACTCAAAAAATTATGTACAAATAAAGCAATAAACCTAATTGATAAAAACTACTAAATGTCAAAAAGAAAACACAATTCCGAAATATTCAAAATTGGAAAAATACAATTTCTGAGTCATAAATGATTGAATTCGGCCGAGAGATGCCCTACCTCAAACCAGGTTCCTTTCGAGTCAAAATTGACTCGCTAAAATTATCCCGGAAAAATTGTGTTAGCCTGCCCATTTGATCTTTTGGCCGTCCAAATGGATTCTGAAATCATCAGCAGTATGTCCTAGATCAGTTGGCGATTAATATTTCAAAATTTCTTTAATATTTATCATAATTGTTGTTTTGAGCCTCCAAACCAAATTGTATTAGAAATGTTAAACTCATTTCACTCAATTATTTATAAATTAAACCCGTGACCCAAAATCCAATATTAAAGTAATAGCAATAATTTGTGAATTTATACACTCCTTTGGTTAAAGCCACGCTGAAGCGATTGTCACTAACATTCTCTTAACTAATCTGAAACATGTTAAATCACACTTAGAAATGTCCAAGATGGGTCTGTTTAGATCAGACACGACAAACTGGGCCACATGATGATCCATGTAAGAAAACCGTGAATTAATGAAGTGGATTACAATGTGAGACTAACAGGAACCATCACTTTGTGGAACATAAATGATTCACAACTGTTGGAAGACAATTCAGGACATCATGTCCTGTATACTGATATTCATAGGTACCCACATTGTTCTTATGGCTGGTTTATTTATCTTAATTATATCTTTTAAATATTGGGTTCAACATCCACACCCGTGAAAAAATTTAACCGTTCACCTGTTTTTCAGTAATTGGCGAGAACATCCGAAATGAAAAGATTATATATACTCGGTGATAAATTATTGAATGTTCTAAGATACACATTTAAAACCATTTAGATACGTCGACACATTAAATTTTAAAAAGTAAGACATGAATATAGTGTAGACACAACTATATACGAATATAATATATTTATTGAGTAAGAATATTATAAAACTTTAATTTATTTCTAATTTTAATACTAAGTTGCTCTGACATAATTTAAAAAATGAAGCTATGCTATAATTATAATGATTTTTATATTATATATATACCATTATTCTACTATTTTGCCATTACAATGGTTTTGTTTTAAATGAAGAAAGTATCATTTTATTATTTTCAAAGTTATCAGGCATGACCACCATAAACTTCTTATATAAGACTTGTGTTAGGATGTCCAAAAGTGTTGTCCAAAATTGCCAACTAATTGTTCAAAATGATAAATTTAATTTTTAATTGCGGACACATACACGAGGGTGTTGGACACGGGTTCAAGAAGTGTCTGTAATGTGTTGGTGTCTGACACTAACATGACACATATACGATTCCTTTTTAAAAGTATCGGTGCTTTATAGTTAAAAATTAGGGTAAATTACAATGACCTCCCATGATGTTTAAACAAATTATACACATGTAGAGTATTTGACCTTTATTACTTTGACATCTCAAAGTGTCTGTAATGTGTTAGTGCTTTTTAGTTAAAAATTAGGGTAAATTACACTGACCTCCCCTGATATTTAGACATACTATACACATGTAGAGCATTTGGCCTTTATTACTTTGACATCTTGAAGTGTCTGTAATGTGTTGGCGCATAACACAGACACGACACAGATACGACTCATTTTAAAAAGTGTCGGTGTTTTCTAGTTAAAAATGAGGGTAATTACACTGACTTTCCTTGATGTTTAGACAAATTATACACAGGTAGAGCATTTGGCCTTTCGTACTTTGACATCTCTCAACATTTGGCGTGTGTGCGCAACGACACTCTATGCCAGTAATATAAATTTTAAAAATGAACAAGTTACACTTTCTTTGCATTAAAAGAACTCAATAACCTTATATTTTGACATGAAATGACAAAATATCGTAAAATGCCATTAAAATGTAAAGTATCAATTTTCATACCAATTTTATACTATTAAATTTTACAAAACAATTTTTTTATTTTTGATAATGACATTTGATTAGGTGTTTTTTTAAGGTTTGATTAGGGTAATATAGTGTGTATAAGATGGGAAAAAAAAGGGTAATAGAGACTTCTAGGCTCCGTTTGTTTCGACGTAAAATATTTTTTTTAGAAATATTTTTTTTTACAAGTACAATATTGTTTTATTTTTACTTTGTCGGTATTTGGCAAAGATCTATGTCGAGGTTGAGGTTGAGTTCATCAGGACATATAAAATAATTTGTTGAAAATTGATGGATAAATTATTTTTGTTAAATTTTAATATTTTTCTTTCTTCGTAAATATTTTACAACAATCAAACACCAAAAAATAAAAAAATATTTTTTAAAAAATATTTTACGTCTAAACAAACGGAGCCTTAATTTGACTAATTTTTAATTTTTTTAAAAATTAAATTATTATTTGATTAGATTAAAAAAAAATGGAAGACATTTTATACTTTTAGAAAAGGTTAATTTAATAAAGGTAACACTCGATTTGTATGTAATTTGTCCTACACTGTTTTTTCTTTCAAGAGGTGTTTGACATGGAGTATAGTCCTATATAGTAAAGGATTAGGAGCACAAAATTGAGTTAAATTAAACGGTAGACGGTGGTGTGTACAAAAAGTAGGAATGTAATTAACGCGATCTGATGACTTGTGCTTAATAAAAATTTCTGGTTGAAGACCAATAATTGCAATTATCGATCTCCATCACGAAAAAATTTAAAAAATTACGCGTGCCTGTCTGTCGGCCAAGGTTATAAACTCGTTGAATACATCAGTGTAGCGTGTGCGGCCCAGAACATTAAGGGCATCACGGACATGTTATTGCCTCAAATATAGGCATTAAGTAATTTTTCAGTCGCCACCAAAGTGGACCAAGAATGAGGACAAAAGCAGATGATAATTAGCCAGACATGAGTCATAATAATAAGTGCCGCCTGGTGAATGTTTATGCATCATTTTCTACTTCTATATATATATATATATATATATATATATATAGTTCAATTTCACTTGATGCGCTCATGCACCAACATATATATATAAAAGTAGAAAATGATGCATAAAAATTCACCAGGCACCACTTATTATTATGATTATAGCTCCTTTTAAGAATCATACATGGTTTTGTTTGAGGTTGCAAAAATATTGCGTCTTGGTTCTCTGGATGGAATTATGAATATGTTTGCCACTCTCCAATTGTCTTTTCAATTAATAACCTTGTTTTTTTCATGGAAAGGTATTTGAGGTAAATTTACAGCGAAAATAAAGCTAGGTTTAAAACAGATATGACATTTTAGACTTTTGTTTAACGCGATTCCAACATTAAGGCCCAGTTTGGTTGGAAAGTAACGAAAAGAAAAGAAAAGTAATGGAGGAAAAAATATATATATATTTTTAAAGAAAAAAAAAAAAAAACGAATTTGGAAAGATACAATTTAGAAATCATGTGTTGCTTTTGTTATCATTTAAAAAATGGAATGAAATGAAAACAAAGAGAAGAAAAGACTCATTTTCAATGATATTTTGTTAATACTAATTTTACCTTTATTTAAAAAAAAGATAATTTGTGAAAAATTTATGATAGTAAATTCATTAAAATAGTTTTCTTTTTCCAAGTATATTTACTATCATTTATTTTCTTTTCCTTCGTTAATCAACGAATGTCATAAGTAGTTTAACAATATCTTTTATTTTTCATCTTCATTTTTTTTTTCTCCTAACTAATATAATTAATTATTTTTTTTTTCATTGTACCAAGCATAGTCGTAAGTTTTTTTCTAAATTTACTATTTATTTATAATCAAGACAAATTTAAAAAGTGTGAGCATAATTTATTCTAACATTTTATAATAAAGGTTCTTATCAATAATGATTCTTACACTGTATGGCATTTACCCAACGTTTGAAAAGAGTGGAAGGCCACCAAAACACAAGTCACAAAACATTAACATAAAGCCAAACGTCCCCCTATTTGCTTTACATAAAGGCAGGGTTGGCCTCCTAAATACAGTTTCTTCTATTAAAATGAATGAGACACATCCTTTTAAAAATACACAAATTGCCAATTAGAGACCCCACATAACAGGTGGGACCCACCCACCATGTGAACCCATTTGATAGCATCTCCCTGCAAGTTGGGCCCCACCACCATCACCACCAATGGCTCTCATGATTCCCAGCGTGATCAACAAAAGTCATTGCCCAACATCACACATGGACCTCACCCACCATACATCACTTTTAAAAATATTTAAAAAAAGCCCCCTCCGTTAGATTGACACATTTATTAATCCAATGGTTGATAGAGCGAGTTGGTATCTTCTGCGATGTGTTGTACATTCTGTACTGCATCGAACGAATCTTAACTCACACGATATGAACATTCATACATTCAAATTCATCAACGACGTATTATACATTCTGTATTACATCGAACGAATCTCAACTCATTGTTCATTCCTTAAATGATGCAACAAGTACAACGCTCCTTCGTAAAACTTTCACTTTTCCTCTCAACCAATCACCACCGTCCATTCCACTTAGAAGTACCATGACATATTCCTAGTTAAATCAACATTCTCCAATGTGCATGAGCATCAAACTTACGGGATGCATGGGATCATTGACTCTGACACCCTAACTTGAGTGTGTATATAAATGGTAAAAGCTAGGGAAACAAAAATGTGACCACATTAGTATCAAAGTTTCTCTCTCACCTTGGTGATCATGGAGAAGAGTAGGTCATTTCCAGAGTACTACTCCTGTGACTCCGGCGAGTTCGGGTTCGAAAACCGGCCAAACTCGTACGCATTCAACGGTCCGAGCACGAAAGGTGAAGGGTTCGCGCCGTCGAATGATCCGGAGCTCAAGAGGAAGAAGAGAATCGCGTCCTATAACATGTTCACCACAGAAGGGAAGCTGAAATCGACGGTGAGGGACAGCTTCAAGTGGGTGAAGACCAAGTTCAGCAACATACGTTACGGTGTGTGAGCTGCACACGATTAATCCTCTATGGTTCTCCTCCATTAATCCCAAGTCTCACTCATGATCTGATGATCATCACCCCTTTAGGGCATAGAGTTTGTGGTCATGCATGGTTTTGTTTGATGATCAAAACACATCAAGTGTGACGTGATATTGAGTTGTGTATAGCTGCGTTGCATGGGATCACCATCTAAGTGTGTGTGACTGTGTGTGTTTCCATCAGGTTTCTTTTGGTCAAAACTAGTTGAGTTTTTCATTCTTATATCATTTTGTTATATTGGATTTTAATTATATATGTGTGTATATATATATATATTATAAATACACGCCTTTATAATTATGTAGATAGTATATAACTCTTGCAAATCCTGATCCTAGCCATAGCTAAAATTTGGAGGGAATAAGAGAGCTCAAGGCCAGCAGTCGGTTAAATTAAGGTGAGAACGCTGAATTAAAGGTATGATGACTTTAGGTGGTCTCTTGACTCTCTTCCTAGTATTCATATCATAAAACATTCACGATATTATTTTTTTATTTTTAAAATTTTTTTCACGAGATATATATATATATATATATCCGGACTACCATTTGTTTGATCACCCAAACCTACTTTCTGATTAAATTGCAAATCTTGTAGGGCCAATTGGCCCGTAGAAGTGTCTAGGTAGAACAATTTCCATATTATTGGGGGTAGAAACACAAAATAGGAGACAGATATTGCTAATTAAAAGGGAGATTATTGAGTATAGTGACATCTTACCTCACCTTTTTCCTTGTATGAGGCTAGTAAAGAATTAACAAGGGTCCAGACGTTATGACATTTGACAACAACTAAGAGAGGTTGATACATACATATATATATATATAGATATATATATAGACAGAGAGAGAGAGTGAGAGAGAGTAGGGGATGTATATATGTGCAACAACTATATAATATTTTTTGAAATGACGATGTCACTTTTAGAATTCAATCATTAGTTTTATTTGATTGACATTTCATATCTGTTAACCAGTTTGGTGGTTTATCATTGCTCTTTAATTAATGAGAATGCCTTTAAGCTCACAGGAAGCTGAGAGCTTCTTTGTTTACCACTATATTTTTATATGTATTTGAGCTGCTTTACTAGATAATTTATTATTGTTAACTTGTGACTTCCAATGTTCTTTTAATCTGATCACACAAATTACCAATTCATTTCTCCAAAACAAATGATTGTTAAAATACTAATTCAATTTTTTTTATATTTTATTTTATTTTATTCTAAAATCATCAAATCAATGTTTTGGATTTCGAATTGAAGGAAACTTAATTTAAATTTGAACTAAATTTAATCTAACTCCAAATTCAAGATACCGATTTAGTCCACCCAACACAATATGAGTTTTAATTTTTTTATATTATTATTATTATTATTTATCATACTTGTGATTCCACAATTTTGAATAAGCAGGCAGTTCCTATCAAGCATTGTAGAAAGATTTGATTCCCACAAAACCTGTGTTCATACCATTAAAATATGTTGTCTGTTGAGTGTGACAATGCTATAGGTTTGTTGTGAAGGTGGTGGAAGGTTTCTATCTTACCAGAACTGCTTGTCACTATTATACTCTCCCAACCGCACGATTGCAATGGCCAGTGGACCAACTGGGAAAACCTACAAATATTCGCATAGTAGGATTGACTATAACACACAGAAACATACATACATCTATATATATATAAGCATTAGTTGTTATTTTTATTTTCTTTGTCGACTACAGTGGAGTCGGGTCTCTTATAGCATCCCATCGTTTATCATTGGGCACTTGTACTCTCCTGACTCCAACAAGGGTCGATTCAACCTCTGACTTACCTTTAGATTATCACTAACCTGATTCACCATCAAACCACACTAGCTTTATATGATTTCTAGTCTTCATAGTGTTTTGAATTTCATTTCAACATTCTGAAGACAAATCATGCCAAACTTTGCCCTCCCTCAGGCCTAATTTATTTCCAAAACCACCAATTTTTTAGCCAAATTTAGGCCCACAATTGGTCATAAATTCCTTTTTTTATTTTTTATTTTTTTTTATTTATAAAAAAAACCAATCTCATTGACACGAATAATCCCTATCTATCAATCAGAGAACATATATATACACACATCACATATTTATGCAAATTTTAATTAATAATTCAGAACCATCTTAGTATTTTCTTATGAAACACAAATAGATAGTAATGATCATAATCCTACTTATATCAATCATTAGGATTCATAATTGTAAGAAACGGCAATTGACCCTCATGATCATTATCCCACCTACATCAAACTCATTAAGTGAATGAAAATGTACTAAAAATTCATTTTTCACACAATATGTTCAAAGATTCATCCTCTCAAAGAACAATATAAAGCACTTCTAAAATATTCGCGTTTTGCTTTCCCGAGATTGTTTTTCCCCAACATTTTATTCAAGTAAGCATAAGTTGCAAGTGAATTATACATGTAGCTTTGCAGAAGTAATTCTAAGCTCAAACCAAGAGTAAGCAAGGACAAAGTTTCATTTGAGTGGTAAACAACTGACGCAACAAAGAAGATATGCATGTAACTTGATGTTAGCATCACTCCAATGATACGGCAAAAACGAACATTCTTCTCTTATTCCTGAAATTTAAAAGATATATGGGGATGCATAATTTTTCAATCATGTGATTTATGCAAATGAAATTGAACAATATACTCTGAAAAGTTGAACACTGTATATGACAACAACAATTGCAGAAAGCAGAGTATAGAGGGAGTTAATCAAGCAGAAGAGTCATTCCAGGTCTACTATCCCGAAATTGGAGAGTAGGATCTTTACTTGTTCAACGAAGTCCGAGCCTGTTGCATACTCTGTTAGCATCCCAACAGCAAAGCCGAACATTGCCCATCTACTCGGTCAACATCCCATATACAAAAAGAAAAGATCCCAGATCAATATGGTATATTATGTCCACAAATAAATATGCTAGTAAACAGAATTCCTCAGGCGGATTTAACCAAAACTAAAAAAAGGTAAACAAAGTTCGTGGGCATATCACCATTCTGAAAGTCAAAGTGACTAAGATAAGGGTTTGTTAAATCAACTTTAGGGTAGTAGCAAAATGACACAGATCTCCAATTTCTTTAACATATTACCAAGCATGCATTGCACAAATCTATATTTATCGTGTCCAAAATTAAATTAACTACAATGGGATTTAAAAGGTAGTGAGAATGAGAGTACAAGTCTGAGAGCAGCCAAAATGGGTAAAAACATTGTCACGTGGTCTATATCCAGTCTATCCCTCTCAACAATCCACAAAAGCTTGACCAAACGCTAGATAAATGATGTATGGATGGGAAACTCATGTACAGGCGGGGAGACGTGAATATGGGGCACTTCATGTCGAGATTGTACAATCCTTGACAATATAAACGGGAAAGAAAACCATTTGGCTAATGTCTGATACAATCTTTCACCAGAATATGGAAGAAAAGGAAATCCGCTCAGCTTATGTCCCATACAAAGAAAACCATTCTGCTTATGCTTCACTCAGAATTGTGGAAGGAGTGATACAAAAACTGAAAGAGATAAATGCAAGCTGCGCGTATATACTCTCTTCTTGGTGAAAGGGTCATACATGATTCAGGCCTCTATAGAACAGCTAAAGTAGCTGCCATAATTAGAAATAATGTTCGGGACTGGTCTTCGTTTCATCACAGGTCTCCAGTCATCTTTGTTTTGAAAGATTTTCTTTCCAGTCATTATCTTCAGGCCTCATTTATGGACACCGGTCTTCATTTAATCACAGGTCTCCAGTCATCTTTGTTTTGAAAGATTTTCTTTCCAGTCATTATCTTCAGGCCTCGTATATGGACACCGTTATTTTATCATGAGTTCACTACTAAGACTGCTCAGGACTTTACTAAATCTCATTCTCCTAAAGTTCCTTGGTCTCATCTGCCTTGGTTTAAGGGTCATGTTCCAAGGTTCAGTTTTATTTTGTATTCAGCCATTCTAACCAGATTGCCTACTCAAGACAGGTTACTTATGTTGTGCAGAAGCATTTCCAAACAGATATACCCACAAAGATGGGATATCCAAGTAACAACCAAAATTAAAATGATAGGTCCCAATAGGGCTACGTCCACAGCCGATGACGATCCGTATCACTATAAAGAAGAAGATTACAAATTGAAAAACTTTTTGGTTCTTCCCCACAATAATCTCTCTTCTCACACCTCTCACTCACACACAAAGAAGACTCACACAAACACTCTCAAGAAATACCCCGAATAGTATATGGTTTACATAAAGAGGAAAACCCACCCAAAAACAAGCTTCAAGTTTCACTTGAAGATTGCACACACAAAAGGATTTTCTTACACACACAAAACCAATATACTATCTTGATCCAAATTGATCCTCACTTGGATGCTCTTGGATCATTTTCAGATGCTTGAACCTATGAGACACAAAGGCTATTTATAGCCTAATTATGCCTCTTGAAGACATATGCAATGACATATGCAAGTTTGAATTTGGAAAAAAGGAAGCCAAACAAAAACAACTTGTGCTTGCTGATCAAGCATATCAAAGACTGAAGCTGCTGACATTTCAATCTTGCTGACCATGCCTATGCTTGTTGATCACACAAACTGTGGTGGCAAGGGGCTGATGTAGGCCATGATGTATTGAGCCACAATTCCAACAACTTATTCATAGATGCGTACTTTGTGTGGCAACGAAGTTGAAGATCACAATCGCCTATTTTTTGAATGCTACTTTCCTTCCAGTATATGGCAATCAATCAGATCGAAATGGTCTTTCTGCCTCTAATTCCTCTAGGAATTTTCGGGTTTTTTGGGCTTCAACTCAGTTTAAGGCAGTTCTTTTCACTCCACTCTCTGCAAATTGGCTTTCTCTTCTACAGTTTACGATATTTGAATTGAGAGGAACTGCAGACAGCTTGCCAATACTGCTAAAGACCCTTCAGCTATTACTAGGTTGATTGAAGACTCTGTGAGGCTTAAGCTCGTTAGTTTTAGAAGTGTTATTGCTTCCGATTCGAATAAGAACATTCAACTCAGCTCGAACTTGCCTGCTGAAAATTTTCACTCTCTTTAGTTGAATGCCTTCTCTCACGCCTCTACAAGTTTTGAGGGGCTGTTTTTTATGGTTGATCTATTGGCCTCAAGTCTCTTTGAAGCAGAGGGTGGTTCAATCTGGTTTTATCTTTTCTTATGGAATCTTGATTCGCTTGGGTTGGTTTCCTCTTCTTCCTTTTCTAGCAGTTCGCATCTATCTTGTAGCTTTAATTTTCCATTGTACTCCATTAATTCATCCTTTTAGGCTTTGTTCTATAGCTTTTCCTTTTTGCTGCTCTGTTTCAGAGTTGTCTTTGGGCTTGTTGCTTTCCAACGCTTTCATTACAGATATAGAATATAATATAGAAATAGATTTTCCATCCAATTTGAACCGCGGTTCTCACCAAGCAATCAATATTTTGGATTTGGAGCCACTTTGAGGTTCCCAATGAAATGAGGCATGGAAAGATTGTGGGGTATGCCCCCATGTAACTCTGTAATGAGTTTGTTCTTTTAATACAAATCAGCTTGCTTCTCAAAACATAAAAAATAAATAAATAAAGAATGAACTTTCAGTTGACTAGACCTAAACCATGGACCGACATATCATATTGATTTACAATTTTATCTTAAAAGATGCTTGTGTAATTGGAGACAGTAATTAAGTCCAAAAAACTCCTAGTTTGTATCTTGTGTGTAATATACATAATTATAGTTTAATTTAGATAAGAGATTTCACTAAAATCCTCAAGGAGTCCACAACAAGAATGCATTTGATTTCCATGAGGTAACAAATACTCTAGTTTATTCTCCCATGCTAATGCTCTTGCTGAAAAGGGGCATAACTGAAAAGGCATATAATGCTTGTTTTAATCTAGAGATAAGTAATAAATTAGAAAAAAAAAAAAAATTATATATATATATATATATAAGGAACAGCCTAATAAGTTGAGAAGTAGAAAATTCACTATTTGGAAAACACATATCCCAACTCAAATGTACATAAACACAACTGGTTGGCTTGATATAAATAATTTCCATTTTTCACAAATTTAAAGGAACTCAAAACAAGGACCCAATATGCAATTTTAATTTCTCAGCAACCAAACTGAGAGCAAAGGTATCGGAAATCAGAATCATAAATTAGTACCAAGATTTGCTTTGGAAAGTAAATTTCATCAGAAGTTTTCAGTCAAATTTTGTACTAGTTTACACAATCTATAATTAATTTAAAACAGAGGTTTCAATACCCCTATGATCAATACAATTACATCTTTTGATGAAGCAATTAGAATTGACTTTAATAAATTAAATATAAGAAGAGATATAGAGGCAATGATGGTCATGACGATTAAAGATAATAGAACTACAGAACCACAAGAAGAAGAAGCCTTTTCCCGACTACTTGGGGTCGACGGCATGAATCATATGTTTCCATTCAGCTCTATTAAGGTCATATCTCGGTCAAACCACATGCTACCATATCTTTCCTTACTAACTCTACGACAACTTTAGTCCTCCTCTTCCCCTAATATTACCTGAATGTGAACCACGTCCCTTTCCCTAACTAGAGCACTTAAATATCTTATTTGCACATGACCAAACTATTTTAACGGATATTTTTCTCTTTTTATCTTTAATTAATTTGTATTATTCCCACCATCTCCGGAATGTGATCATTTCTAATTCTATACGTCTAATCTTACTGCACATCATCTCGTCACTCACATTTCTGCCCCCACACACTTTATGCATATGTTGTAATAGAATTACAGAAACAATCAATATAAAATTATTAGGAAAAAAAAACCTAATTTCCAAAAGTACAACCACTGAAATGAGAAAAGGGTAACTATGTATTTTCATTTACCTGCCATTAGAAATCTCGTTCTTGCCAATGAAACCAAAGAATGGGCCTTGATTGGCTTCCTCAAGCTTCTTCTGCTTAAAATACTCCTGAAGCTCCTTAGCCTTTTGCCTCTGGAACTCCATGGTTATTACACTCTTGCCCTCGGCCGCCTTCGGCAGGGGAGGGGCTGGCGAAGGGGGCGGAGGCGACGGTGGGACTGGTTTGAGAGGCGGAGTAGCCACCGGTCTCCGGAGAGGGCCTTCGGTTTGGGAGCTCCTAATGGTGAAAATGGAAGGCTTAGTTGCAGAGAATCTGATACATGGGATTGAAGAATATGAAGAAGTCGAGGAAGATGTTGATGATGAGTTTGATGAGATTCTGATGATATATGGGATTGAAGAAGAATATGATGCTACTGACATTTTCTCTCTCTAAGCAGATTGTGGAACGAGAAGATTCGATGATTGGATGATGTGTGTCTTCTGTGTGTTATCCAAATCAGTGTGTGCGCGCGCCACATTTTGTGTACCATTGAGTTCCGCGCGTGTGGATAACAAGTGGCCAACTCCCATTTTTTTTTTTGGAAGAAAAAAAAATAGGTGGGAGATTAACCTAGCTACCAAAAGGAAAAGAAATTAGTGCTTGTGAATCAGATTATATAGCATTGGATGGATTAACCAAGATATATATTATGTTTGTTAATAACCAATGATTATTATTATTATTATTATTATTCTGAATGACAAAACAAATGCACACTCTTTTGTTTACCCCGAACTTAAATTATTCTATGTATAATCAAGGATAGAGAGGTTCCACTAGACCCTAATTCTCTTTGATGGATTATCAAATTTTGATTCCGAAAGGTTTATTAAACTATATATTTCAATTGGTATCTGACTCAATTGATTTAATTTGAATGTGATTGTAATTAAAACTAAATCAGGCTTTTGATCACTTGTGTGGATAACAAGTGGCCAACTGTTTGTTTATTGATTTATTTATTTGTTGAAAGAAAAAAAATAGATGGAAAATCAACCTAGCTTCCAAAAGAAAAATAAATTAGGGTTGGGTTAACCAAGATATATATTATGTTTGTTAATACGGATTATTATTATTATTATTATTATTATTATTATTATTATTATTATTTAATGATAAAGTAAACATATACTCTTTTGTTCACACTCGAATTCAAATTTCTCTATTTATCCTCGAGGATAGAGGGGTTCCGCTAGACCTAAGGCTCTTTGGTGGATTATCAAATTTCAATTGTTAAAGGTTTATTAAAATATATATTTCAATTGATATCCGACTCAATTGATTTAATTTGTAATTAAAACTAAATCGGGATTTTGATCATATGTCTCTTACTCCATTACAATCTCAGTTGAGTGGAGTTAAACAACATGATAGTTTAAAGTATAATTTAGTCCATAAATGTGATATTTCCGGATTTTCGAATGCTGGTTAGCCAGGCCCATTCCCGAATGCCTGGGAATATCAAAACAAATCAGTAATAAATGAACACAAAGTACAAAGGAATAAATAAAAATGCAAAAATGGGATCTAGAATGATAATCCATTATAGTAAATTTCATTAATAAATTCTTATGATACAATTAATCCTCTAGTAAAATAACTCGAGAATCCAGACTGTGTGGATTCCTAATAATAACCCAACTGAAATAATTAAAATGAAATATAATCCGAAACTAAAACATGAAGAAAAATCCTACGTAGTCGGAAGAGTGAATGATGTCTTTGCTCAGCACGACCAAACGCTAAGACTGGAACTGACAAACACTTGAAAAATAAAAGTGGGTCAGGCCCACAAACAAGTTCTGCTCTACTACAGTCCAAACAGAGATCCGATACACATATACATCCTAGTCAATCCAACAATAACTAGTAGTCCGTATATATATATAGATACACACTAAAAGGGCTCCCACTGGCTATAGGGCAGCCTCAACCTGAATAGTAGATAACATGTAAAACGCACCGATAGTGGGCATAAGTACTTAGACCTACTAAGGCACATCATAATTTTTTTTTTTTTTTTTAGTTAGTACTCGGAAGTAGAGGCCTAGTACCGTTAAGCAACAGGCCTTTTGGTAGGCATACCATAATCCACTGTAGTTAGCTAAACACCCTATGGACTATACGCACCCTAACCACTGATCCTGAGACCCAAGCTCATATCATAGCACATAATTATATATATATAATCCGTCCTATCTAATCATAAAAGTAAACTATCCATTCATATATTTCAATGGTGTGTTATCCAACTGTTCCGTTAACCTGACAAGAACATCCGTTCCCTTATAAATCCGAATAGTTAGGACTTAACCTTTTTAGTTAATCATTCCCTAGAATGCCACCATCCCATACTGGTACATTCTATCCATACAATCCAATAATTGATATAACAATTAAAGTAATACATTAAATAATCTAGAAATAAGCATAATAACATAATATTATGTTATCACAAAATATGAATGACTTATAATTTATTTAAACTTCCTACATCATGTATTCTATACAAACTGATTCTTAAAACATGCTGATATATTTTATTTCACAGTTAAGTAAGCATTCTCTAAATACAATTCATGCTAAACATTTAATCTTAATTGCTAGAACAAATTATAAAGATCAAACCCATTCATTCTTTTAAGAATTCAAATAGCATGCCTCGTTATAATCAAGTTTATTAAAATTTATTTAATCTCATACCTAGTCCCTATTTAATATTCGGGACCCCTCAAAATCAATTAAGGTTAATTTAAACCCTATTTACGTTAATTTCCGAGGTAAGGCTCGAGCTTTTATCCTGATAGCTCGAACTTTCTATCCATGGCTCGAGTTTTTTTATCAATAGCTCGAGTTTTGCATCAATGGCTCGAGCTTTAACTCTAAGGCTCGAGCTTTCGAGCTTTTCACCTATGGCTCGAGCTTTGCACCCAAAGCTCGAGCACTTTAACAGTGGATTGAGCACTGTTATGCGAATCTGCCTAGAAATTCAACTGTACGCCTGTTCTTCATTGTTAAGGGTTCTAAGGCATCAATCTAATTCCATAAGTCCATATTAATTTGTTTTAGATATTTTAACATGTAAATATTAATCTTAAACATCAATTTATGCATCAAAAATTTAATATTACAAAATCAAGAACATATATGTAAACACATAAAACCCTCTATTCTAAACCAATTCAAGCATGCATAATTATTCAATTTTAAGTGTTTAAGCATCTTGGAATTTCCTAGGCATATATAGAAACACAAATCAAAGGGAAAGAGATAGAAGAAGAACTTGCCCTAAAGGTTTTCGGATAAAAATCTCAAACTCCTTCTTCTCTGATTTTCTTCTTTAATGATTATTCTCCTCATTCTTCCTTCCTCTTCCTCTTTCTCTCTCTAACTCTATCTCTCTCTCTCTTAAAAATATATTACGTGATTTATTCTCCAGCCCCTTTTACAACCATATAGTTACATATTTATAGACAACTAAATTAACACTAATCATTTTCCCAATCCGAGTTAACTTAATAAAGAAAATAATAAAATTTGTAATGACCCGTTCATTATCCTTCCTTTCATTTTTCTCCATTTTTACGGATTAATTTTTTTCGTTGAAATTCCCTTTCGTGTATCCTCACTCCTCGTGGTCAGAGTTGATTTTTGATTTCACGTACTTTCATTCTTGTTGGTTTCCTTGAAAGGCGTAGCTTTACTTTTTGATAAAAGCTCGCCAGTCGTTTCTTTTTCCCACAGGGACGTGGATGAAAAGATTCTTCAGAAATATTTTTCATTTCTTAGGGTGTTTTCATAAATATCTTGAATATATTTTGATTTGGGGGTTTTTAAGAAAATATCTTTCGGAAGATATTTTCATTTGGGTTACTTGCACAGTTATCCTTTTGTGTAAGGGCCTTTATGTAATTAATGAAAGTTAATTGCAAAGTGTCTCCTTGGGGCTTGGATCCTTGTACGGGATTCATTTTCACATTTCGTTGAGTCGTGTACTCTTAGAATTGTCTTGCGATCAATCTCCCCAGTTTTCGAGTTTTTGACCCTGATTGCCGTTGAACTTGTTCGGGGCATATCTCTTTTTTCGAGACTCGGTTTTCGATGTCATTTCTTCCGTTATTCATTTTTTCTCATTTAGGTTCTTTTTTGTTCACGGTGTTTTGCTGTTTGAGCGCGTCTGCTTAAATTCCACTTTTTCGGACTCGGCAAGGCCCGTTCGAGACACTTTTAGAGTTTTTCTATAAATAGGGGATGTCATAAGAAAAAGTGAACATTTTATTCTTCTTCCTCCCTCCTTAGCTGGCCATCCATGGCAGCCTTGGGCTGCCACCTTTTTTCTTCTTTTTTCGGCCACTTCCCTTTAGTAAAATGCCAAAATGCCTTAGTGTTTATCGTAGGCCTTGGCGAGACGGTCCTTTCCCACTTATTAGAATCTGGTTTCAGCCTTTTTTCAAGTTCGGGTTTGAAGCCAAGTTTGGATTTTGGTGTGACCCCCTTGGAGTTTAATGTTCACCTTGTTGTCTCCGACAAAACCCCGAAATATCGTCGGATTCGGGGCGGTTTCCATTTGATGGCTTTTGAGATTTTCATCTCAAATTGAGGTAGGAGATGTCTTAGGTTTATATATGTATTGTATTGATTGTTTTATAAGTTTATACAACTTGTATGCATGTCTATGTATTTTATCTAGATTTTAATTTAATTATTTTCTTTGTATAAGATTTAATTCTCGTGGTTGTATATTGCTTAGAATTAAATTGTTGCATGCTATTAAATTAGGCCTTGATATGTTCATTAACATATATTAAATTGGAAGTATTTGAATAAGTATTACAACTTTTATTTAATGATTTTCTTTTATGAAAATCTAATTCACATGGTTGTAACTAGCATGAAATCAACTTGTAATGTGATATTAAAATAGGTCTTGGTATGTTCTTTAACCTATGTTAAATTGAAAACATTTGGAGTTGTTTAAAAATCTAGAGAAAATTAATTAATTAGTTTAATTAATTTTATTTTAAGTGTTTTAATCACTTAATTTGATAATTGATGTGTTAAGTGTTTTAATCACTTAATTTGATAATTGATGTGATATATGTGAAGACCATGCTATGTCCTTTAACATATATAAATTTGAGGTTATTTGGAATCGATTTGAAATTTAGAGAATTTAATTATTTTATTTTATTAAATCCTATCTACTCGTTCCATGGATTTAATTATGTCTTAGAAGTTATTATCTCTTTAAATCATGGTAATTGGACTTAGCATGATATAGGATCTCATTGTCTTGTTTAGCTTGTTTACAGGGACGGAGGGAGGGGTGGGCTAGCAGGGGCCAGGCCCCCCTAAGAATTTTTATTTATTTTTACTATATATAATTAATTTAGACTTTATAGTTGGCCCCCGCAAAAAAATTAGTTCAGCCGCAAAGCGCCTCACTTTCCTCATTCAAA